TTGAGTTCGCGTATCTCGAAGCTTTCCACAAGGCAAACCGGTGGCTAAACCAGAGGGGAAAAACCGAGAAGAAGATCCGCAGCTTGGAAGAGGAAAAGCGCGAGGAAACAGAAGAGGAGAAGCACGAGGAAAAGTCTTGGAGTGTTAGCGCGCTCCGGATTCTGATCAGACTCAACGAGCAGCTTTACGAGGAGCTCAACGGCAAATCCAGCGACCGAGAGAGGATCAAGCGAGCGCGGAAGATGATGAGGCTCCAGAAAATGCTGGATAGGATCCCGAGTGAGAGGAAACCGTGGAAGAAGCTTCAGTCCGGCGAGGTGGTCTTCGTGAAGGAGGCAAAAGAACTATATGATCGTGCGGGGAGAGATTTTGTTGCCGAATTCAAGAGGAGACAGGTAAGTTTGATATACCTTCCAGATTCCAGATGGCCGTTTGCTAATAACTTCCGTGTTTGTTGTAGAGAGCTGAAGTGAACGATGAGTGTTTGTTTTGTCGGAACCATGATGGCGAGAAGATGATCGGCCGGGCTGGAGCGAACTCTAAGACGACTAGACCCTGGGTTTACCTGAGAAGAGAACACGAGCAAACTGTTCTAAGCACGTCGAAGAAACGAGAAATGAAGTTGGCTCCGAGCTCGAGAAGTTGGCTGCAAGGATTGGTCAACTGGAGGCCAGTGCTCGGACTCTAGCATCGGAGAAGCCAACTCTCAAGAGTCAAATCCAGAAGTTGGATCTCCAAGCAAGTTGAGCAGCACAGGAGGAGGCCACTAAAGCTATAGACCAGTTAAGTCGAGAGAAGATCGACCTTCTCGAGGACTCGACTCCAAAGATTTGGAACTGTCCAAGACGTGAAAGTAGTGCGTGACAACCGTGTCTCAGGGCTCCAGGCGGAGAAGTCCATCACACTTCAGGCGTCTAAACAGGCCAGCGACCAGCCTCCACACTCTTCTAAGTCAAGAGAAGATCAATGGATCAAGTTTGACTACACTCTACAGTGTCTGGAGCTAGGAGGGATCTATCTTATCAGCTTTCCAGTGGATGGAGATGATTCAGGAGCGCCTGCTGCGGTAAGGCTGTCCATGATAGTAGCGAGGAACGACGTAAACCAGTGTCAGATGGCTACAAGATGATATAGCTGAAGCTGCTCGTGACTGGGGTTTCGGATGGCTGCAGAGACTATAAGACAGACTACGCTAGACGTTCTCTGTCATCTGGTGGAATGAGGGAAGTGTTCGGACAGGAGTTCTTGAAGGAGAAGCCCCAGGGGATAATGGCTGACGGAGTCGAATCCGCTGCACGAGGTGGAGCTCTCGGCGAGAGCACGTGATGGCAGAGTTTGGAAGCGCAAAGGCGAGGCTGGAGAAGCAAGTAACTGGCAGCTGATGGAGAGGATCACGGGACTCGAGGCGCTGGAGGAGAGAGAGACGTGCCAGATGCAAAGCAAAGCTTTGGGCGAGGAGCTCTGAAGGATGAAGAAGACAAGCCGAGGAGAACCGATGTGAGAGCAGAGGTTTGACGGATCAGATGGACGCTACATGCGACAAGAAGGAGCATCTGGCTTCGCAGGAAGCTGTGTTTTTGCATGCTTCCGCTCAAGCTTCTCAGCACGATCAAGGCCTGAAGTGGCGGAAGCATTTTCTAACTGCCAGAGGTTCTAAGCACGTCAAAGAAACGAGAATGGAAGTTCAAGAAGTAACCAGCTCTCGAGAGTCAAATACAGAACAGAGGTGCAAGCCAAGTACTGACAGCTCGAGCAGCGCAGGGAAGCAGTAGCAAGCCTCCAAAGCGCTAGAGACCAGTCTCCACACTTCTAAGTCAAGAGAAGATCAACCTCTTCGAGGAGATATCCTCCCTCGACTCCAAAGTTTCGGAGATATCTTGATCAATCGGGAGATAGCAGATAATTTTGTCAAGATCTGGGCTTCTCAAGCGGAGCTCGCTGAGACGGTGCCCGAGATCGGAGCAGTCAGCCAGCCGAGTGGAGAAGAGTCCATCAAACGTTGGCGTGAGAACAGCGAGGTGAAGGAGAAGATGAGATGCCAAGACGGATCAAAGACAAAGCTCTCTAGTTGACGGAAACGGGACGAGAGCTTCAATGCTGTCCAGGATCACTCTTACAGGTGCTTGGATGATAGAAGATGATGATGGCAAGATGATCTCAAACTCGAAGAAACTGCTTGTGGCGGCGGAGCCAGAGGTTCGGCTTCACAAAGACTGAAAAACGGCTGATGTTCGCCCCTGACATGCGGAGACTAC